ATTCTAGGTTACCTAATAGGTATCAAAACAGACAAACACTAGCAAGGTCGAACTGAAGAGGAAAAACACTGCTCACCGTTGACATCCCTAAATACACTCCCTCCCTCTCCAAACCTCACCTCCTCGCTTCATTGGCACTCAAGCAACTCGGCCGCCTGTGATTGACCACCCTTCAACCAACCTAATAGACCGAACGATGATGATAGGACCGCAACTAGGCTTGCCGTCGCAGCATACCAAACTACGTCGCGAGACTAAACCGCTGAACCCGCCAGCCGTCCCTTGCAGGTAGCCCGAAGAGATGAGGGGGTATCGTCATTATGGACGTCACCACCTTTAGGTCTCCCACATTCCTCCTCCCCTTCTTCCTTGTAACCGTCCTCCTCCAGCCCGTAGAACCCTACCAACCTCTCCTTTCTCCCTCCCACAGTATTCCTCCTCTCCACCAAGACCTTATCCCATGTGAAATGCGCCACCCAACGGCGTCCAGACACGCTCCTCCATAACCCGTTCGTCCAGACACGCTCCTCCAGATCCCGTTCTCCGACCTCCTCCACTCGTCACTCTTGCCAACGCAATACCCCGCCGCTCCGCGTTCCTGTCCTCACCGCAGGGCCCGCCGCCGCGTCCAGACGGCGGGCATCCCCCACATCCCATTCTCCTACCTCCTCCGGAGTCACTCTCACCATCACAGTGTCCCCGCCGCTCCGCGTTCCTGCCCTCACCGCAGGGCCCGGCGTCGCGCCGGTCCCCATTTTGTCAAAAGACTCAAAACGGACATTTTATATTTTTTGAACGAAATTAAAATTGAATTTTTTTGCCCGAATCCGGTCCAAATTTTTGGCTCCTGGGGGTCCAGCGTTCCTAGAACGAGGCCGGACACCCTAGATGTATCTGGTTTTCGTTCAAAAAATATAAAATGTCCGTTTTGACGAAATGGCAGTTCTTGAAAACCTGGCTAGCCCAGGCCGTAAGCTCATGTCCATGTGTGTAGGGTCTAGGGAAGGCCAAGCGGTTAGCCTTGAACCCCCACCTAGCCCCAGGCCGTTTTTTGTCAGAGTTGTACTGTTGTCTGAATGAAAGGTCTGTCTGTGCTAAAACCCCCCACAAAGTCCCAAGTCAGACTCGAACCCATGCACTTGTCGTGTAACAGTTGTGCTCTACTGATGTGCCACAATGTCACACGAGACCAAATGTCTGGCATATCAGAAGATCATCAGAACAGTCTGTGGCCACGTCATCAGGCAATCCACACAGTGCGTCGGTCAATGCCCGCCAGTGTCCATGCGGGAGGTTGACGGGTTTTGAACCCACAACCTCAAACCACAATGCGCATTTCCAACCGGTGCTCCTACCCACTGAGCTAATCGTCTGTACACTGGAGTGGATTCCTAGTTTTTAACTACAAATCCAGTGGAGTGGATTCGTAGTTTACTGCAAATCCATCCATTTTAGCACCACATGGTACCTTCTTTTCTTGCTTTGGTAGTTGGCACTTTCGGGAAGTCCCGACTCTTGCGTGGGGTCGGTAGTCTGGCAAATGTCTGGGATGTACAAGCCTGTGATTGGAAACTGTCCGAAGTTCCAACTGTGCAATTGTCAGGCTTGAGGAACCACTGACAGCGATATCATTTGGGGCAACTGCAGCAAGCCATCCCGACCTCCTCTGTACACATGTTGTGGTCTGGGATAACACCTCAGAGAGGCTTTTGGTACAAGTACCCCCCGAGAGTGCTAGTGGTGTCTGCCTTGTCAGCACCTCTAGCATTAACTTGGGCTTGTTAAAAAAAAAAAAAAAAAAAAAAAAAAGCCAAGTGGTAACAGGCATTTTTCACCTGCTCAGATTTGGAAAATTGAGAATGACTACAGCCCTGGGGACATACAAGCCTCTTATATGGTATTACATATAGGAAATAACTCCGCGGGAGTAGGGTATTGAGTTTTTCACAAAAAAAAAAAAAAAAAAAAAAGAGTTTTGAATTCCCAGCAATAACACTGCAGGTCCGGGCCAAGGGCAGTTAGAAACTGCAAAACAAGAACAGTTTTGTGCACTTTTTTTTCTTTTTCTTTTTCTTTTTTCTTTCTTTAAACGCCCAGGTTGTTGTAGAGGCAGGGTATCAGGCGCGGGAGTACTCTCCGGGGTCCGGTCACTCAAAGTTCGGAATGACCTACTTGGCCCTCTGGATCTTCGTAGTCGGAGTCCTCTGCAGGCTTAGAGCCCTAAGTCCTATCGTAAGTCGTGTCCCTTCCACATCATACACCTTGCCACCAGAGATCAGATTCTGTCCCTACAGATCCAATCTCCAACTGGATGTATTGGGGGTTCACTCTAAGCAGCTTTGTCCCCCAACTATTGACTTAGCAGATCCCTAGCCGATCCCCCCTCGGACAGATGTAGAGGGCCTACCTCCCTCCAGGTAATGTACAGTACMCCCCCCCCCCTCCCCCGCCCGCCCCCCCCAAACCACCTATCCTACCCTCTACTCAGGAGACAGGCACAATACAAGTCCTACCTGAGCTACACTTTATCGGCATCCTCTCTACTAGTCCCTCCAGCCCCAATACCCATCTCATAGCCTACCCTTGCTTGGTCCCTGGTGGGCCCGAGAACCCTGATGACAGGGCTATGAGAGTACCACAATGTCGATGTATTGCCTAGAGACGACCAGCCAGCTAGGTGGTCCTAATCCATGAGACAAGCACCGACTCGCACCTACTGGTCATCAGGCAGACAGTCACTCACTATTGGGACTACCCCAGGTAGTATTTCTACCTATGATGCGATTTCCCACCTACCCATGCGGTCTCCGTAGGTGGCCTATGAGGCCAATTTGTGTGTGAGTCAACTACTCCCTTTGAGCGGTGAACTACCCATTAAGCAACCTGCACCGTGCAGCCCTGCCAACCACAAGGTTCCTGTACCCCTCCCACCACACACACCACAGAGATGAGACCGCCTTTATACCCCCGTGGTTCGAGACACACACGAGGGGGAACACAACTAGACATACTACCCACTGTCACTCCCCTCCACTATGAAGGCCCCTCTCTAACCGGGAAACCCATGGTACACAGACGTCTAGAGAGAGACCACCCTAGGGAGAGGCAGGGAGTAGCAGACCTAGCCTAAGGGTTCTCTGGGCCCGCATAGTATACTACGGTCAAGTACTTGCTATGTGGCAGCGAGATTCAAGCAGGGTTCGAATGGGGGTTCTTCAATGCTCATTCAATACCATGTACAATACTACTATGAGCAGTTCCTTCAATTCTAGCAGGGTCTGTCTATAGGTGCGACCATATCTGTGACTAGATAACGCGGCAACACCTTCCACAGACAAGCTAGCCCCTGTGTATTACCCCAAGCGATCAACCAACTCCTGAATGCACAACACATGTTCGTACAAGCACCCCTCAGGACCCCCCCCCCCCCCCCCCCCCAATGGAGTGACAACCAGAAGAGACCTAAGATCATCGGAACCACGAGCAAACCAAACCACCAAATAGCCCTCCCCCAAGCCCATTTCATCATACAACAACCAGCCAGGTCAGAAGTTCGAAAGTGGCAAAATCAGGCGGCCACTCGTTGTTGCTTTCTTTTCTTTTTTCTTTTTTCACGCCCCTGTCAAACGGCCACTTGTTGTTGCTTATCTTTTCTTTTATTTTCTTTGTTTCTTCCTTTTTTTTTCCCCACGCGCGTCGCTGGGCCATGGCCGAGATGTCTAGCCCACGCTTGTGGCTGGGCCACGGCTGAGATGTCTAGGCCATGCCTGTGGCTGGGCCACGCCCGAGATGTCTAGGCCACGCCCATGGCTGGGCAACGGCCGAGATGTCTACGTCACGCCAGTGGCTTGGCCACGGCAAAAAGGAGTCTCCATGAGTCGCCTTCCAGCCCCACCCCTAAGGCGAGTCATTTCCCAAGCCCCCTCTGTGATCCTAAACGGTACCGGTACCTGCTCCCACCCCAGCCCTCGGGAAAACGACCTGTAACTGCTCTCCGCCAGGAGCTGCAGTGTGCAGTTATTTCCACGAATTTGGAACTCTTCACCGCTCACAGGCGCAGACTGAGTTGTCTCTAGTCACAAAAAGGAGTGATAATTGCACTATGGTGGGCCAAGATACAGTGTGGAATTGCAGTTCGGGCAATGTATACAACGCAGCTTTCTGGCCAGGTAGGGTGCCTGAAGTGCAATTCCAAACTGTATCTTGCCCCATAGTGCAATGATAACTCGTTTTTGTGACTGTACTGAAGTTAACCCTATATATAAAAGGAGCCTCTTGCCAGGATACTGCTCCGGCCCCCTTTTCTATGGGCCTGAGGGCATAGTCGCACGGGGACCTGATGACCTTAAAAATCCCAAAATTTGAGGCAGTTTTCGGGTCACATTGGAGAGGCCCGCTACCCAAATGTACTTTTTGGTGACCCTTTTTTGTCAGCAGGCTGCGGGGCCGCGAGAGGACACTTTTTGAGACCACCTCCAGAGGTGGTCTCAAATTACCTTTTCAATTTTTTGTTCTCCGTGAGGTATTTCAATAAATTCGTGCGTGAGGAAAACAGCCGTGAGTGTTACGGGCCGGAGCAGTATCCTGGGGCGAGGTCCCATTAGCAGTCGGATAGGAGTGTGGCCGATCCAGTGTGACACTGAGTGGCAGCAGGCTGACAGGTTCATTACGAATTTCTGGGCTGGAAAAACAGGAGAAAGGCAAAAAAACAAAACAGAAACAGAGACCTCCCACCGGAAATCACGGCAGAGTGCTTCCCAGCCATCAGATCGCAAATGCTCTGATGGTGGTGGTTGCAACAACAGTGAACAAAGTAACCGCCACATTTTCTGGAATAAACTCGACTTCTGTCAGCAGTGATCCTGACACCCTCCATATGCTCCGTGATTGAAGGAGGGCTCCACCCAATGAGATAATTGCACATCAGCAAGTAAAATGCTGAAAATCTTCTATCCAGTGGGCTAAGGTCGACCCCAACCTCGTTTGGGGTTGGCCACACCCCCAACCGATTGAAAAGATTCTGGCGGGCAGCTTTCTTTGCACGGGCATGCCCAGTGTTTAAAAAAAAAAAAAAAAAAAAAAAAAAAAAAAAGAGTCGGGTGCTTAGTGGTCGTAGGAATGTTTTTTAGGACTCTGGGATCCCTACTGCCCAGTGTTAAGGAGAGGAGGAGGGGTTCCAAGATCTCCTTACTTTTTCGGGTAATACATGTAAAATACTGACCGTGGGATCACCAGTACTGCATGGCAGGATGTGGGTCACTCAACTGCCCCGCAAACTCGTTTCTATCCTATCCCGTTGCTAGTGGGACCTCGCCCCTGGCAAGAGGCTCCTTTTATATATAGGGCTAACTTCAGTACAGTCACAAAAACGAGTTATAAGTGCACTATGGGGCAAGATACAGTTTGGAATTGCACTTCAGGTACCCTACCTGGCCAGAAAGCTGCGTTGTATACATTGCTCGAACTGCAATTCCAAACTGTATCTTGGCCCACCATAGTGCAATTATAGCTCAGTGGTTAGAGCACCGGTTGGAAATGCGCATTGTGGTATGAGGTTGCGGGTTCAAAACTCTGCAGCCTTGCGCATGGACACCGGCAGGGCGTTAGAATGACGCACGGCTGGACACACACTTCCCTGGGCTGACGCATGGTACCATTACAGACACTGCCTGCGCACCACCCAGGGGGCTAAGTCCAGGGATGTTGTATGCTGGCCTAGACTTCACGTCGGTTGCTAGTTGTTGTTGGCTTTGGTCTGATGATCTCCCCCAGCCCAGACATTACACACATTATATCCACTAGAATCCTCCAGTTTCTACTGTAGGTCACAGGTTCGAGTCCGGTTCCAGACTTTGGGGGGAGTCCTGTCCAGATAGGCCTGTCTCTACCACATACACCCATATACAGAGATATCACCCCAGATATCACAACCACGATACACAATCTATCACATACCATACACACATACTATATACACACATAGCTCAAGGTACACGCACAAAGATGTGCTAGTGGAGGTGGTAAGAGCACCTCTCACCAGTACTCAGTACTTACCTTGCAGATGCTCCATGGTGGGGAGCAGCGTCTGCTATGAAATTGGGTCCACATACACATTACGAACATACACATAGCCCATGGGCATAGATCCAAGATACAGAGTACATACATACATACACAATCATAGGGCTAGGAGGAGTAAGGGCATAGATCCGGAAACTGACGGAAGCGGTGAGTCAACGAGGAGGTCAACGCGGCAGGTGGATAACAGGTACGGCCCATCAGGCCCCCGGCCCATCCTGCCTCCCGCCCCTTCCCCCGAGGTCTCCCCCGAGCCAACAAAAAAAAAAAAAAACTCTCCACAACAATCTAAAATGAATTAACAATAGCAAAATTCGATCAATAACAAGAACACAAGCAACGGGATAGGCAAACAAGCAGATCAGCAGCAGCGGAGGGGTGGGCGCTTCAAGGACACCTAATTAGTAGGACACACATCGGCACGATATATCTGTGCATCAGCTCTCCCATCTCTCACAACCGATAAGAGGATCTCTGAAAGGATCACAGGGCACACGGGCATCTCCACGTGGCACAGCTGAGATCACCCTCGTATAGCTCGTGAGATGGAACTGGGGTACAGGAGGGTCAGGGGACCTGGGTCCCTCATCTTTTACCAGGGCGCCCTGAGACACAATATGGCCAGACAGCTGGCGATCTGCCCATACGGAAGACCAGCAACGAAGGCGCAGTCAACCCTCCGCCCTCCGCCCTCCACCCAACCCCCCTCCCCAGGCCGAGCGGCAGCTATGGCCGACCCCCAAAGAAGCCTTGACCCCCCGGTCAGAAGGGCCAGAACCAACAGTGAGCAGGCGGGACAGCGACCTGGAGATGCTTACGGTGGGAGAACAAAACAAGGATGAAGAAGAGAAGGAAAAAGGGGAGGGAGGTGTGGAAGACGAGGAAGGCGAGGAGATGCTGACAGAAGAGGAAAAAAACACGGAAAAGAGAACAGGAAAAAGCGAACCAAATGAAGCAATCACTCACAACCAAAAGGCAAAAACAAAAGAACCAAAAGCCTCATGGGTGCAGCGAGTTAGGCGTACGATCCAGGAAAAAATCCTCACCATCAAAAGGGACGGCCATACATCACAGCAGGGGGAGGAAGAGACACTAAAAGTACCTCTCCGCAATCTCTCATATGCACGGGCCTACTTCCTCTCTGAAAACCAAGTGGTGGAACAAGGGGGGAGGAAGACGGTGATGAAGACGTACCCGGTAGATAAACTGGCTGCGAGAGACGAAGCCTACATCAAGCACGCGAATAACTGGCTGTTTCATGGGGATATCGCGCAAAAGTCAGTTAATGACAAAATTCGCTGGATAAGCAAACGTCTGGAATAAATGAACGGCAGTCCCGAGGCGGTGCAGGAATTTTTCCTCATCCACCCCCTCTCATCAACTGTCTTCACCGTCCTCAGTCTGTTCACACAGGACAAACAACGAATTGACGAATGGCGAAGAATAAGATGGGAAGGATCGGAGGTACGGATATTTCCATGGCAACCAAAAAAGTTGTCCCCGGAGGAGAAGAGGGAACAACTCATGAAATATTTTTTTGGGTAGAAATGAGGCTGCATTCGTCCATGATCTGGGCCAACAGTACAACATAGTCGATTTCATCGACCCACTCCCGTCCTTCGTGGCAAGGCGGGATGACTACATGATGCTGGCCCTCGACCTCCCCAAGGACCAACCGTTTTCCATGGATGACATAATCCCCTACAGAATGGGAGGAAAGATATATCAAATCCACACCGCGCACAAATTCCGGCCATGGTGCCATAAGTGCAGAGCGTTTGGCCACCTCAGCACGGAGTCCGCGTGCCCCCAACATCCCAATATGCGGGGCCTGAAGGTGAGACGGCTCCAACAAGACCCGCGTAGGCCCAACAGATGGACCACGGCGGACCGGGCCCACGAAGGGTGGGTGTATCTGGATGACATCGATCCCGAGGGCCGACCAAAAGGCTGGACCTGGGAAGGGCGGGGGGACCCCTGCAGAGCGACGCGAGCGCCTGCTGAGTGGGCACCCCCCTTTAGGAAGGAACCCACGACGGCGGAAAAGACCGTGCCGATCACACAGCCTCCTAAGGCGGAGAAGACTTCGCGGACCACACAGCCCCCCAAAAACCCTGGCGCTAAACTACCCACTCTCAAAGCACCACACCCGCGAGGGACATACGACCAGCTCACTCAGCAAAACTGACAGCCTCCCGGGGGGCAAAAGGGTCGGGGCTGGGGACCGACAGCGATGGAGTATATGCCAGTGGCCAAACCCACAGTCCCGGTGATAAAAGGGGCACTGCAACAAAAGGAACCCGGTCCCGCACCCCCCCCCAACAACCTTGAGGGTGCGAAAGGCAAAAAGGCATTGCATCAGGCCCCAGACGACCTGTTTGAAGATGCCTTCGGATCAGAACCCATGGACATAGAAACAGTTCTGGGATCCTCCCCCCTTCCCTCTCCCCCCCGGGAGGTGGAGATGACCGATGCCGAGGAACAGGATGCAGGCCAGTCCACCTCCTCCGAAGGAGGCCACACACAGCAAGGCGAAGAGGGGAAGGGAACGCAAAGAGTTGGGCTGCAGGAGGTGGCGGACTGGCTGATGGATAATTTACACCTGAGATATGGGGCAGGGAGCGACCAATTCTGGGACGATACTTATCGGGCGCCCATCCCCCTTCTGGAATGTAGTGCCAGCCTCCAAAAGGCTCTGACCCAAGGGCTGCCTGTGGGGGCGGACTAGTCGGAAGTCTGTCACAGACTCCTAGGTATAGTGGTTGCCCGGTTCCACCCTCCGCCCCCCCCCCTCCGCCCCCCGGGCAGGACACAGCAAATGGTACCGGAAATGGTACCCCTGCCGACGCAATGCAGGCCTCTACGGACCCCGGAAACGTACAGAACGTCAACAAAGGAGCAGAACAGGGGGAAGAACAGCAACAACAGGGGCTGCGGGAAGAGGGGATGCGATCGGCCCCGGGGCAGCAAGGTGAGGAACAGCAGGATGAGAGACAAGGGGGGTGCGTCGGGTGGAAGGCGGGGGACGAGCAGGAAAAGGGGGGAGGAGCCGCACAAAATATCAATAAAGAAGGTACAAGGATAGTAGACACGGGGGAAGATCAAGTGGAGAACAAAGCAGGTACAGAGGCAAGGATAGTAGACACGGGGGAAGATAAAGTGGAGAACCCAGAAAGAACCCCGACCATCTGCGGCTCCGATACAACAATGGTCACTCATGGCCCAGGCGCAACAGCGCAGCGGGAAGACGGACAGCTCGTCGAAAGACAGCAAAAAGGGGGACAGTGGGGAGAGGACAAGGAGAACAAGGACAAGGAGGGGGAGGGGGGGACAAAGGAAGCACAAAGAGAAGGGGGGAGTGAAGGACAAAATAGGAGGGGGGGACAGTGGGGAGAGGACAAGGAGGGGGGTAATGGGGAGACCACAAGGGCGGAACTGGGAAAGGGGGAGGGCGAAGCGCAGAACAGCAGCAAAGGAAAAGCAGAAAACTCAGAAAAGAGGCCGGAGGCGACGGGGGCAGGCTCCGTGGGAGAGCAGACTCAAACGGCGGGCCCTGATGCTGCACAAAGCCTGTGCCTTGCGCTGCCATCCTGGGACGCGGCCAAACCACCACACCCACCACACCCGCCCGCCCCGCACATGCCGCTCCCCCCCAAACCCCCGGACTCGGAACTCACCAGTCGAAGACAAAAAATCAAACACCTCTTGGAGACTGCACCCTCCAGCGAGATCCCCACGCAGAAAGGTATAGTCCTACTGCCAGTCCGGCAGAGGGATGGGGTATGGGAGTTGGGGCTTTCAGCCCCCCCGGGGACCACGCATGGAGAAGTCTCCCTCCAGGGATGCTCCTCGGTGTTCCTCTCGCTGACCTCCTAGGCCGGAAAATCAGTGTTCGGAAGGTCGGATATCCGCCACGTGGTGCACAACCGGCTCCCGGCAGGAGCCTCAGCGGCCCTGGTGCTCACCCAAGGGCTAGCGAGACTAGGACTCAAGTACATATATATGCGCTACGACCACCTGAAATCCGACGAGCTGCGGTGGCTTGACCACAAAGGGCTCCAGGACCTGCAACTGCTGAAAATAAAAGCAGGAGACCTCTGATCCGCAAATGAAATTGGGGACCTCCTGGTCAAAATCTTTAGACGCGTCATACTGCAGCAAGGCGGTCTCTTGGATATAGAAAACTGGCTTGCTTTGTGATCAACAACCCGGTAAGCAGGAAGTCAATCTCCAGGGATGGATGTGGTGGATGCCTTGTACAGTAGGGACAAAACCTGTAAACTCTGCAAAAGGCAAGCGGACCTCGACCTGCGTTCACTAAATGTGAACGGTCTGGCATCCGCAAAAGGACCTAAAAAACAAGCAATAATGGACCAATTAAAGGGGGTCGACGGGAAGGCGTGGCCAGACGTTATATGTCTGCAAGAAACCCACCTCATGGACAACCCCGACCACAACCACAAGCACAAAGAATTATGGGCCCACCAAGCCTTTCGGGTGCACGCCCCACGCCCTGGCAGCGGGGGAGTGGCCATATGGCTCCCGCTGGACTCCAAAGTTAAATGCTTAACTGGGACGCAGGCCGAGAGGAGGGCAAATGAGTCTACCTTCTGGCAATGCTGGAAATCGAGGTGGTAAGTATCCTGAACGTATACGCCCCCAACGAGCCGTCGGCTCGTCAAACGTTTTTCGAATCTCTCAAACCCAAGCTACCGGTGGGCATCCCGGTGATCCTGGTGGGCGACTTCAATGCGGCACCGGACCGCTGGTTGGACCGGTGGAAGATCCCAGCCCCCTGCCCATTCTATGTGGAAAATAACGAGAAAATCATTGCGAAACTATCACAATCACTCAACCTCTTTGATACTTTCCGTAGGCACTTCCATACAGACCGCCGTTTCACCTGCTTTTGCAAGAATGCCACAGAAAAGGCATCCAAGTCCAGGATAGGCCTCATACTTATCTCAGACGAGATACAGGGGGCGCTTCAGATAGCAGAGATATTCCCTCGCAGCCCCTACCCGGGTGTGGATCATGCGATGTGTGTGGCAATTCTCTCCTTCAGGAGAAAGCCGGATCAGGGTAGAGGCTTTTATAAGCTGAACACTTCTCTCCTGAGCATCGATCGGTTCAAGACCTACCTCACAGAGGTAGGGTCCTTTTAGCAGGAACAAAAACATCAGATCCATGACAAAACCGTATGGTTCAACAACGGCCTAGCTTTTATAGGCCGCAAGTGCAATGAATACTCTAAACTTCTCGCGGCGCCGCCACGCTGAAGAACTGGACCTGCAGCGACAACTGCAGCACATACAACAACAGGAAAACGTGACAGACGAGGAGCAAGAGGAGCTAGCTAGAACCGTCCAGACTCTTGAAGCCCGCCTTGTCGAGTGTATGGAGTACAGATGGCAAGGCGTGCGGATCCGAGGGAGACTCTCCAAACATAACATGGAGGGGGCCATGGACGCCAGGTTTTTTGCCATGGCCAAGTCTAAATCAGGGAGGATAGTAATCGAGGCCTTGGAGGATCCCAAAGCCCAGCAAGGCCCCCTACACACGTCTACAACCGTTTGCACAAAGATAGCAAGAGACTTTTACCAAACATTGTTCACCTCGGAGTGCGGGAAACTCCCCATGCACCGTCGCATGGTGGAAATCGAAGACTTCTTGCGGCCGCTCTCCAGAACTCTCACTGAACAGCAGAGAGAAACTCTAGACAAGACCCTGACGAAAGAAGAGATATGGAATGCATTGACGCAAATGGAGGACGAGAAAACACCAGACATCGATGGGCTCCCCAAGGAGTTCTGGGTGGCCATGTGGCCAGAGATATCACAAAACCTCATGGAATTTTTTCATGGGGTTTGGGACACGGGACAGACTGGGGAGCTGGTCGGGCAAGGTGTGCTAACGCTCCTCTATAAGAAAGGGGAAAGAACTAATATAAGAAACTACAGACCCATTACCCTGCTCACAGTGATTTACAAGATGTTGGCTAAAACACTAGCCAATCACATGACACCGATCATGCGGGACATCATCCACCCAGACCAAACAGGTTTCATCCAGGGCAGGAATATTCAGGATAACATTCTCCTGGTTAATGAGACGATCAAATTGGCCAGACAAGCCAAAAACAATGCGGCCATCATCTTCATCGACTTCGAAAAAGCGTACGATCACGTGGACGAGGTCTTCCTCGACCTATGCTTACAAAAGCTCAACTTTGGGCTAGATTTTCGAAGATGGATTAGGATCCTCCACTCCAGTGCAACTACCAGAGTCACGGTTAACGGCAACCTGGCCCCCCCCATTGATCTGCAAAGATCAGTCAGACAAGGGGACCCCATAGCCCCGTATCTTTTTGTAATAATCATGGAAGCGCTAGCCACTAATCTCATAACCCATAAGGACATCAAGAGAATCCAAGTGTCTGCAATACCCAAGGAGGCAATCCCAGTCTGTTCATTGTTTGCGGATGACTTGACCCTGATGGTGGACGCCTCTTGGGAATCATTGGAAGAAATCCAACGTATGATGGATCGATTATGTAAACTCTCAGACATGTGCGTAAACTGGGGAAATAAAACCCAGGGATGGTGGATCCACCACCAGGAAGTGCGGCCTTTAGAACAACCCAGGCTTAAATGGCTTCCGGAAGATGCACCCATCAGAGTGCTAGGAGTATCGATGACGGCGGAAGGAAGGCCATCGAGCAACAACGAATGGCTGACTGCCCCCCCCCTGGCAAAAATGGCGCTCTGGCAGAATAAATACACCTCGTTGTTCGGACGTTCCTTAATCATCAATAATGTGGTGCTGGCCTCGCTATGGTACAAGTCGGCAATTTGGGCCCTGGACAAGAACGCCTTGTGCCCATTAAAACGACAGATAACAGCCTTTCTATGGAGGAGTGACCACGCGAAAGTAAACGTGATCAACCGTGTGGCATGACACTCTCTGGTCCAGCCTAAAACCAAAGGGGGACTGGGCCTTCTTGACCCGTCGGCGCAGATCAAAGCCCTGGCGGTGCAATGGATCAAACGTCTGATTTTTGATCCAAACATCCCCTGGAAAGGGCTGGCCCTAGAGCAGATCTCCAGACTAGCACCACAGACAACAGCAGGCGGGGACCCACGGATGTGGCTCGAAAACAGGAATTGGTCAATCCCAAGGGCCAGGCGGGCGCATCAGGACCTCGACCCCCCCCTCCCAGACGTGCCGCAAGGGACGACCTGCGAAACGACCTGTTCTGGCCCACGTTCCTCAAAATATGGAGGGACCTCCCTCTACCGGACAAAACTTCACTAGACAGATGAGAGGAAGTAGCGAGGCAACCCCTTTTCGGCAACAGATGGATCGTGGACTCAAGGGGCCAAACTCTCCACTGCAAGGACTCCCCCTGGCAAGGATGGATTAGGCGAGGGGTAATGCGAGTGAAGGACATTTGGGACATGGAGAAGAAAGATTGGATAAGTCCTGATCACCTACGGCAAAGACTGAGGTATTGTCACCAACCACAAGAAGCCCTGGAGGCGATAGTGGAGAAGATACCCCTGGATTGGTGGAGGATCCTTCACAAAGGTCCGACCCTGCATAAGCTGGATTGGGTGGCAGTGACAGGGGGACAAGAAGAAGTGGGGAGAGTGGGACGCTGTCTCCCGGGAGGAAGCGTGGAAGTTAAACTCTTTCAAGTGGGACAGGACAATATAATTTCAAAAAGCAACTCGTCAGAAACCATTGAGTGTCACAAAGAAGACCTGTTCAGAATTAGAGTCCTCGAGGAGAACAAACAAACCATTGCCTTCCAGCCCGTCTCCCCCATCCAACATTTGGCCTTGGATCCACTGGAGTGGATATGGACAACCCGCTGGAAAGGACGGAGAAGCACCATGACACTATATGGCCTGACGGTCAAGTACACCTATCGGTTGCTTAGGCCAACTGTGAACCTACGCCATCAGGTTGTGGAACGCTGGCAAAATCACTTGAACGTTGGAGCAAATGATCTGAGGCCGGTCAAGTGGTTCAAGATGGCCAAAGCAAAACCGACGAAAATCACCTCCCTTCAATGGGAGCTGGAACACCGCTGCCTGCCCACTAATAACTGGCTGATAGATAGAACCTCCCTGGGACAGTGAGGTCGTGCCCTCCCATGGTGCAAGCTATATGCATTAACTCGTTCCCTTCCAGAAAATGCCCGGAGACAATCGAACACATCTTTTTGCAATGCCCAGGGGCACTCTGGCTGTGGAGGTGGTGGGACAGAATTTGGGGGCAGCTGGAAACAACAGCCCCGTGGCCCTGGGACTGGAAGGCAATCCTGCTTGAAATCTGGCCCACAGGCCGCACGGACCAACCGGACCGGCCGGACCTGCAGGACGATTTCACCATTAACATGTTCAAATTGGGACGAAGGGCGATCCTCTGGGCGCTCTGGAGAAGACGCTGTAGTTTCGAAATGGAGGGGCCAGACTGGAAGGACCCGAGTTCACGGACAGCATACAGCAACAGGTTCAAACTGAAATAACCGCGGAATGGGAGAAGGTAAAAACTCGAATCAAACTCCTCGACAAAAAAGAAGACATCCAGCGTAATATCCAGGAATTCAGCTCATGTTGGCTCAGGGGACCTGAGGGGGGGAGGATAGGGAAGGTTGAATGGAAAGGGGAACCCCCTAAACCGGGGCCGGTCCAAGAAAGCAGAGTGCTAGTAAAAGACCACTGCCTTAGGTTCAAAGACTGGACTAGTGTGGATGCGGTCATCCCCCTCAAGCCTTCTSACGAATTCCCAGACTTCCCCCCCCCCCCCCTCTCCTCTAACTGCCTGGTAGAAATGCAGTGGTATGGAGGATGAATGATAGATAGACACGGCGGGGTGGGCTCTGTGGAGCATGGGAAAAGCGGCGGCACAGGCAATTACTTTTGGACAGAGGGGCAGCGGAGCTTGTAGACAATAGCAGAGATCTGGCGCCGGGCCCAAGGTGAAGAGGCTCCTGCCCTTGGTTTTCGTGATGGTCCAACAGTAGTCTGCATTCCAGCTTTTGTTGCTCAACCAGTCAATCCTGCTCAGTTAATCCCCTGGTCTCCAGGGTAATCAATGCTGGCAGGTTCCTCCTAGGTTTTCAGAAGAGTTCCATTTGTATCATACTTGTAAGGGACGCTGGACCCGTTTTCCCGCAGGTGATGCTCCCCACCAATAGATGGAGCCTACCCCCTGGTGCTACCGGTGGCTGTTCTTATCAGCATCGCTAGCACTAGAGGGATCAGTTTAAAAAAATAAAAAAAAAAAAAAAAGGGCTAGGAGGAGGTTATGATCAACTGACAATGATGATGGGCATTCGATGATAAGTATCCCTGAGTCGCTGGTTGGTCCGGATCAACTAATGATGATGATAGGCGTTTCGATGACTAAGTACCCCGCCTAAAAATCAGCTAGACTGCCTGTGGCAGACTAGGGCTGTGGTGGGTGAGTAGAGGGCGTGAGTCACTGGTTGGTCTGGATTAACTGATGATGATAGAGGGCGTGAGTCGCTGGTTGGTCTGGATCAACTAATGATAATGATAGGCGTTTCGATGACTAAGTACCCCCCTTAAAATCAGCTAGACTGTGTGTGGCAGACTAGGGCTGTGGTGGGCGAGCAGAGGGCGTGAGTCACTGGTTGGTCCACTGCTGTTCGGTCCAAGTTCCCCTCGATAGGGGAATGGTCCTGAGTGCTGGTCACACTGAGGTAGTATAGTAGAGATACTAAGGGGTTGCACTAGGAGTATTGACGTGAGGATGGGATGGGAAGGTAAGCCTCGTTCCCTCAGGACGACCATGGCTGACCGCTCCTGGCGATCAATGTGTGCCTAGTAACCGGCCTCTACAACACCCTGGGCTTTTCTTTAATAAAAAATAATATAAAAGAAAAATCAGCCTTGGGAGGAAATAAAAAACTCTATATATTTTTTCGGGTAAGCAGTGTGACTACGTGCACTTGCTGGGAGGTGCAAATGTCGGGCCCCCCACTGTGTCCTTTGTGGACACAGAACGTGCATGTGACCACATGGGCACCCGAAGCAGCAAATACATGGTACCACGCTTCCCAGATATTTGTGACCTTAGGTCCCCGTGTGAGTATGCCCTGAGTCTCCAGATGCCGCCTGAACCTTTGCCATCTTCCTCCGCTGGATCTGCTGATGCCTGTTTGTGTGCTGGAGACTGATGATAGCCGAGACCCTTCTCTCTCTCTCTCTCTCTCTCTCTCTCTCTCTC